TTTAACAAATATCTCGTGAAATATTGACATTTTTAAGGATATAAACTCACCCCGATATTACACTCATCAAGACGTTTCATTTGAGTACCCACATCAATTTTTCATATATTTATATATATGTATATATGAAAAATATATGAAAATGCATGTGGGTACTCAAATGATAGCTCTTGGTAAGTATAACATCGTGATGAGCTTATATCTTTAAAAATGTCAATAGTTAAGAAAGTACAGTGCAATTTAACAAAAGTCATTATTTAATAAAGCAAAATTTTTTTTTTTTTTAGGCACAAAAAGAAGAATCTGCGAGTGAATCAATATCTTCGGCATCATTTACTTTAATTAATAATTATAACTCAAACGCGCCGTACGAAACAAATAATATTAGTAAAAATAAAAATAATAATGAGATTGAAAATAATAATGGTATATTGAATTTAAATTCTATAAACAATAATTTAAATTTCAATTTACCAACTACAAATCTAGAACAAATAAATAGTACAAATATATTAGCGGAAGCAGGTTTTCTAACTGAAGATAAAATAATTGATAGTAATTTAACCAAAGAGAATTTTGATAATAATGAAACTTATGCCAAATTAAATATTTTTATAGACGATATTTGTGTTAAAGATGAAAAAAAATTGAATCAATTGATATTATCTAACAATTTGATGGAAGAATCTAAAGCAAGTAGCCCGCCATTAAATTTAGAACAAAAAATAATTCGGGATGGTATACAAAATACTATTGAGCAGTTGGCAAAAGTATCAGAGGAGAGTGATAATATTTTTGATAATTTAGAGACAAGTAAGAAGTGTCAATTGTTTAATCAGGATTTATTACCTCAGACCATTGAAAACGGGCATCAATCTGAAGCTGTTGAATTAGCGATTGCATCTGAGGAAGAAATTCCGTCACCCTGGATTGATGTTATGGCTTTAGCAGCAGCACCACCCGCTCTTAGAACGGAATCTTGGGAAGAGATAAATGCATTTCCTACTGCAGTTCATTCACTTGTTGATCTAATTGGTCCTGAGCCTTATCCTCTTGAATTACAAAACCAATTAGAGACTACGGAAACTGTTAATAAAATAACAACCGAGTTTTCACCAAAGATTGTTGCTATTAATGATGATAATAATAGTATTACAGTAAATAGTAATATTAGTAGTGATAATAATAAAACTGAAAGAAATTTATTACAAGAGATTACTGCCGATGCAGACATTTGTAAGTGCGTTGATTGTAAATGTAATGAAACAAATAATTGTCAGAATTGCTCCTCAGAAGTGTCGAGTTTGGATAAAATAGAAGATTCGAACTCTCCTGAGTTGAATATTGTCAATGAAATTGTTTCATGTCTCCAGCGTCAGTGTAAAAATAATAATGATGTAAATGACGACAATGATTCTTGTTGCGTTGTAATTTGTTTAAAAACACTGAAAAAACTTCAACGGGTATTTAAACAAAATTGTTGTAGAGAATTAGAACGGTCTGGGTGTTGTAAAAAACAAACTGAACGCTCTAATTTATCTTTTGCTGTAGGAAAAAGTCCATTGGCTAATAATCAGTAGGTTTAATTTTATAAAGATTAATTATTATTACTAGTCAATTTTATAATGAGCTTACGACTTACAATATTGAATAAGAGATTTAAAAAAAAAAATTATATTGCTATTTTTTTGCATTTAGTGCTTGTTGCTTAAGTTTTAAGGAAAAAATTGGTAAATATTTACAACCATTTTAATTTTTTTTAAATCAAATTTCTATTTGATTTTATTGACATATTTTTTTTTTTTTTGAAAAATACATAAAAAATTAAAAAAAAAAATTATCACAATTTTAACAAATTTTCAAAAAAATTTTATAAATTTTTTAGAAAATTGTGATATTCAACTTTTTTTTTAATTGTTCGTTTTTTGAAAAAAAAAAAAATAGAAATTTTTATCCAAAAAAATGG